GGGTGGTGGGTGTAATTCATGCACACATGTGCCTGCCTGTTCCAGTGACAGGGGCGGTGACAGGGGCGGGGGGGCACATGATAAATTGCCCTCCACCAGGGACCCACTCTGAGCACAGGCACCGTGATGTGGGTAAAAATGGAAATTGCTCCCTTTCACCGTCATTACATCAGTTTAGGACGCGTGTGGGCCTTTATGTATTCACACACACACACACACACACACAGACTGGTTTTGATGTTTGGTGAGTACATCACATAGAGATAATGCTCTGTTCTTCAGCCCCGTTAACGACAACAAATATATCATCGTGATCCTTAAATCTGATCGAAATCAAATCCTGTTCTTCACTCCAAACTAAACCAAACTAAACCAAACTAAACCCAACTAAACCTGAGGTCCTAACTCACTGTCTGACTCCGTCCCCACAGGGACAACACGTCCCTCCAACAACAGGATTACTGTGAAACTATGTCCACACAAGTATAGTTAGACCAATACACTCACGTACGGACACACACACACACACACACACACACACACGGATGTAACACGGTCCCTAACCCCTGACCCCTGACCCTAACTTCCACTCCTCCTAATCTCAGCCTGATTTTAATCCAAATCTAAACCAAATTCTCGCGGAGCTGCCAAACGTCCTCTGGAGACAAACGGTCCCCGAGACAGAGACGTGTCCCCAGGAGTGCATCTAAACACACACACACACACACACTGTCTCACTAACAGCTGTTTTAACTGAGGTTATTTTCTTTTTGTCCTAAATTACTGTGAAATCAGAAGTGAAGCACAAACCAGACTCCAGTTACAGATGATTGATGCAGCCACCAGTGAAAACACAATCTGTGTTCACGTTTACGCTGATGACGAGCTGCGTTATTTAAAGAGTCTGAACGCAAATATTTGGTCTGCGTCAGATGTCTGCAGTATTTACAATTTTTTGAATATGCAGCAGATTTTTTTTTGCTTCTACCATCCATCCATCCATCCATCCATCCATCCATCCATCCATCCATCCATCCATCCTCTCCTAACTCCTTCACAGACTAAGGCATTAAAACTAATGTGTCTCTAAATAAAAAGAGAATTAAAAAATAAAACTCTACAAAAACATATTTAAAAGGAAGTAATAAAAGATAATTAATTGTAGCCACGTGTGTGTGTGTGTGTGTGTGTGTGTGGACTCACACTTTAAATGACACCTTTTAAATTAATTGTAAAAATAAATGTCATTATTTCTAAATTCAGCTGTAGTAAATTAATTCAGCGTTTATTAACCTTATCCAGTATTAAAATGACTGCGTACATTTTGAAGGCGGTCGCGTCAAAGTCAAAATGACTACGAAATACCACTGGAAATTTTTACTTTGACCAAATTTCAGGGCAAATTATCTTTTATTTTTAACAATATTTTGTAAAATAATTTTATGCACAGAAAACCATAAGTTTGAAATTGACTCCAATCCCTTCTGTTAAACTTTGTTAAACATCGAGTAAACGTCACGTTTGAATTTATTTAAAATAAATTAATTTACTGACTAATATTATTCTGCTTCACAGATTTAAAACTCGCCACAGAATTTATCTCACACACACACACACACACACACACACTCTTCACGATTGTGTGTAACACACACACACACACACACAAAATCAAGTTTAAGATTGAACGCCTTCTTCCAATATTTTTGACACAATTAAGAGAAAAAAATAAATTGAAACCAAGAATATAAAATATATTCCCAAGAATTTCCCAAATGAATCCACAAAATTATCCCAAATAATCCCAGTGGCTGATTTTCCTCTGAGAGGCAGGAAAAAAATGTAATCCACAGGCCGAAGAAAAAAAACAAAAACCAAAAAGATTTTCTTGTTGGTGATCTTTTAAATCTGTGTTTTTGTTTTTTTAAAAACGTAAACATGGAAAATGAAATGATTTCAAACCAGTAAATTGAACAAAACAAGACGGGACCAGTTTATATGCAACAGAATTGTTTGTTATTTTTTTGTTTTGTTCTTTTTCCCAGAATACATACAAAAAAATACCAATTTCTCTTTGAACCTGAAAAATAAGCACAGATTTAAATTCAAATGTGGACACGGGTTCCTGTCGTTGTTTTTTTCTATCATTAAAATTAAGAAAGAAACAAACATGCAGGTATGTAAATTATTATTAATATTAATATTATTTTTTCTCTCTTTGAGACATTAAATAAGAACAAATACAATCATAGCAATATTTTTTTTTTCAAATGAACATGGAAAAAAACGTAGACCCGACTTTGATTAATCCTCTAAAGTGTGTGTGTGTGTGTGTGTGTGTGTGTGTGTACGTTACCTATATAGAGTTCAGTTTCAACATAATGCACTTTTGTCAAATATGTTTTTTTCCCCAGAATTCTCAGCTGTTATTGAAGGTGACATATAAATAAATACAGTTGAAGTTCGCGCCTTTCTTCCAGGATCTTCCTGTGTTTTTAAATTATTGTCAGTTTTTAGGAGATTTAAAATATAAAAGTCCATCTGTTCTTATAAACTTTCCCACAATCCCTCTGTGCTCACTGGTATCCCAGCGCTGACGCCGTGGTCAGTCTCTGGCCGTACAGTGCGTACGGAGAGTAGTAAGGCCCCGTGGCCGCGGGCACGGGCACGGGCGCCCCGGGCGTGGGCAGCGGGCTTTTGGAGTAGGGGTGGTAGCGGCTGCTCAGTCCTCCTAACGCGTGGTGCGGGCTCCTGAGAGCCAAAGTCCCGGGGCTCCCGGGGGCCCCTGAGGGGGGCATGTGCATGTGGCAGGCCATGGCCGCGGCCGCCGCAGCGCTGGCCAGGGACGAGGAGCCGGGATACCCGGCGGAGATGAGTTTCTCCGCGCCGGTGAAGGCCGTGTGAGTCCGCAGGTGGTTGAGCAGCTCCTCGGACGAGGAGAAGCGCTTGTCGCACGGTCCGTTCGCCGACACCCAGTTACAGACGTGCGGCAGCGGGTCGTTGGGAAGAACGAAGCCGTACGGATACAAGGGGTGTCCGCTGAAGGACGGCGGGCCCGCGGAGTGGACGCCGTGCATCGGGTGAGTCGGGTACACCAGCGGGTAGCCGGACCTGAGAGCCGCCGGCGCCGCCGCGCGGGAACTCGGGGCGCCACC